ACTTTTTATAGTATTTTTACAACATCTATGGAGTGAATCAATCATAACTTTTATTTATTGGACTCATGCAGCATCGTATTCTCCTAGTTCCATATAATCCAGAAGACAAACCGTACTTATAATATTTATTGAGGTAACTATTCAAAGTAATAGACAGACAGCCGGTGCATATAAACATTCTTACAATGCTCTTGTAAGTTAATTAAAAAATTAGCTTAATAACAGAATCATCAGAAAATGGGATTGAAGCATCTTTGATAGCGGCAAAAGTAAAGACTGTTCGCGTGGAAATATTTGGTATGTATAAGCAGAAATTCCGATTTTCAAAAATAAAAATCACAAAGTAATATAAACGGTTTTCTAAATGTTGAACGGAATATGGATATAATAGTATGTTGTGTTCTCGATACAAATTAGTGTATTTCCATCCAACAAATAATCATTTTACAAGCTTTTTACATATATTGTCTCTAGCTTGTGATTCTAATTTGTGTAAAAGTTGTTTCATTTAATGAATTCACCATACTAGTACTATTTAAATCCAAATTTGCATCTTTGGAAATAGCTTCCTTACTTACGCATTTTACCCCTCGTGGAGGAGCATAGGCCGACTACCAAGGCCCTCCAGCCAACTCTATTATGAGCTCGTCTTTCCAGTTACTTCCGATTGCTACTCATTCTTTTCATGTTTGCCTCCAGTTCCCTAGGCAATGTGATCGTTGGCCTTCCTCTTTTCTTACACCTCTTAGAATTCCAAGTTAGGGCTTGCCTCGTGATGCAGTTTAATGATTTCCGCAATATATGTCCTATCCACCTCCAGTCTTTTCCTAATTTTCTCTTCAGATGGAAGTTGGTTTGCTCTCTGTCACAGCGTGTTGTTGCTGATGGTATCCGGCCAGCGGAGATTGAGTATCTTACGTAGACAATTGTTTATAAATACTTGTACCTTTTTGATAATGGTTGTAATAGTTTTCGAAGTTTCAGCTCTATACAGTATAACTGTCTTGACGTTCATATTGAAGATTGTGGCTGATGTGGGCTGACGGTTGTTTTAAGTCGCAGGAATGGTGACCTTACTTTTCCAGTCTGTTTCTCCAAATCTGCATCAGATCATCCTTATTTATCGATGATGCTGCCCAGATATATGAAAGTTTCCACCTTTTCCAGAGTTTCTCCATCATCATCTTAATGGTAGTGTATTGCACCTTCTTCTTTTCGAAACTTTCTTAACCTTTGTAAGTAACGTAACTCATTAACGTTGGTCCAGTGACCAAAACTTAAGTGTCTATTGAATCTAGTTTCTGGTGATACCTAGAAAAATTTAAACAGGTGGGTCAGTCGGTAAGGTTAAAAATTAGTTGTGTTAACTCACCAATCGTTAGCTTGACATAAATTTGTAAATGATTTCCGAAAAACTAGATGACCTCGCAGTTTTAGAGTTCATTAAGTATATTCGGGGATCAAAAACAGCGGTGATTGCTCTGTGACTTTTTAACACCTTTAAATCAAGTGTGCAAAGACAAGTAAACTGGAAAAAAGATTCTTCTTTCATATTGAAAATGGCAATCTTTGTTGTCTCTAATGGAAGCTGAATCCTTATTCTAAAGTTATTGATTTATACACTAATTGTTATTTGGCTGTTTAAATAATATGTTCCTGTACTCTGACATTTTTCTCTTCATAAAGGACCAACCTGCACGCGAACTTATTAAATCTCATAAGCAAATACCTATTTTACGTTCTAACATAGAAAAGTCAAAGATCGATGATGAAGTATCATCGAATGCATCTTGGAGTACTGTTGGCTCAGTTGAGACTGTTAGCAATTTGTCATGCATTAGTAGTGGGACAACACGATTTGTCTTAGAAGATGATGCAGTCAAAAAACCTTGGCGTCTATTAAGTCACGCTAAACGCTTGAATTCAGTACATTCAACGATAGTATCAAACCAAACAGAGGCTGTAAAACATGTAACAAAACATAAAAAACGCAAAGAAAAACTTCGTCGAGTTTATCGTTATTTAGATGAACATGAAAGAACATGAAAAAAACTATTATCTGCCTAAATTGCATCCTAAAAAATAAACTATAAATTCTTCTCAGTCCTATGTACATTTTACTATTTTTTATCTAAATACCTTATAAATAAATTTTTTGGATCATGAGAATTTTTTTCCTAAAATTTACTGTATAATTCTTTTAATTTATTTGTTTTTCAGTTGGTCAGTTGTATTTTACCAAATCATTTTAGTAGAGTATATGTATTTTTCATAATGGATTACAATGAAATTTTATAGTTTCTGAACATTTGTTTTGACTTATTTAGGAATAAACTAGTTGTCTAATCCTCCAAGGTTTACAATTGTTTTTTAGTTGATATCGTTTGTAATGAAACGCAAACATATCTCCAAAAATTACCCTTTGTGTTTGGACCTATAGTTCATCAGTAGTCGGGAAAAGACGACTATTGTATCTAGTTTGATAGGTCGAATAGTGAATAATAAAACGTTTAAAGTTCACTTTTGTACTGGTTTTTTGAATCTTCTCATTGATGTTTAGGACTTCGATTGATCAGTCTCTTGTTGGTATATATGCATCCTGTGCGGATTGCCCCCATATTTCCTTAAATCACAAGCATTATAAGCAGAGATGAATAGTGGCTAGAAGTGTTTACGAAATTGAGAGAATGAAAAGCGAATTTCGGGCGCTTTAACCGGGTTGGTGGACACGGAGAGTTCACCTAGGGGAGTTGGAAATCCCAGTACTGCACATGGACTCCAATATCCTGAGGGAACAAATGACGTGTGAACCAATCGTTGGTCACCAGCTACCATGGGACTGCATCTCCTCACGTTGCTCCACTGCCTTGTGGATTAGACCTTTAGGTCGAAGGTTCCGGAGGTGACCCCCTAAGAAAACCACCTGTTTCGGTTTGGGCACCCAGGCAGTATCCCAGTTCTCACACAAATCGAATGATTTATGTGACGCATGTATATTTGGTGCCACCTTGTACCAATGTTTATGTGTTTAAATAAATAGCCAACATCATGTCGTGTTACTTAGCCCTTGACGAGATATTTATTCTGATTTGTAATTGGATTACTATTTCTCCTTGACTTTATGTTATCTACGTGTATACTGATTAATAATCTTACAGTTTCGTTTTACCTATTAACATAAGTTAATATTACATATTAATCACCGTAACTTGAACAATTTTATATTATTTTACAAACAATCTGAAAATCATTTTTGTATTGGTTGTTTGAAGCGAACGGTACTGAGTTTGAGTCCCGGAGTGGACGTTATTTCTGGAATGCAGGTAGATTTACTTGGCATGTTTCAAGTAGGATGCAGTGCACCTCCTGGATTTCACTTTCAGCTGCCCTCCATCCTAGATTCAAATGCTATGATTTTAAATGATATATTTGTCTTAATCCTGGTCACTTTTGAAATTCTAAGTTTGGATAATTAACTGTAGAATCTGAAGAGAATTCGTTGAAAAGAATATTCTCCGTTCATATATCTGTTTTTTTTCTGCAAACGATTCAGTTATTTGTGTATAAACGATGCTGACAATATTTACTGTATGTGATTGTTCTTTTTAAGTTTTTAATTTAAGAAATATGCTACCGATTTGTAACTAAGTAGTGTGTTTATTTCGATTACTGGAAATTGTAACTTTGAGCAAACGTGTGAGGTCATCTGTCCTTTTCTTAATGTTCACTAAAAGTCCAATGTCGACTGTTTCTCTTTTCATTGCGTTAGTGAGTGATGCATATAAAAGCATAATTTTCACTGAGGATTTCATTTAACTAATCTAAAGCTACTTACGTAGACCTATGAACACACCACTGTTGCGTATTCCAACTTTGAGGATGAAAAAGCTAGTGAAGTGAGTGTTGGGGCTTGAAATGAAATCCTCAGTGAAAGTTATACTTTTCTACATAACTCTCGTTCGCTAAATGGAAGGCGAATTGCTCGAAAATGTTCGATTCCACATACATATTGAAAATTAAAAAATGCGTGTGCTAAGGATTCATGAAAACGTGTACTATCTCGACATAGACTTAAAAACTAAGCTTCTGTTTTTTACAGAAGGATGTGGATGAAAATCTCACCATTCACTCTTAGAGCTTAATTTCATATGTAAAAAATGTGTAGATTTTGACGTTTGAACTAATTCATGCGCATCATACAAATATGATATAAGCAAGAGACTCATTAAATGATTGTAATGAAAAACAGAAGTTGGTGCGATAATATTTCCACTTCATATACAAATGTGAAAAAATAGATACGAATTTATATTTTCTTTTTTATCACATCAGTTCTAACTAAACAAGTTATTTCCTAATCAACCAACTGAAGTTTTATGTAGTTTATGTTTGATGATTATTTTTCATAGGAAGAAAATCATAGTGTTACTATAGATCTACTATTTACATGATTCATTAATCTTTTATTGGTCAATAGAAAAGTACTTTTAATTGAAAGATTTCCTATTTCAATCTAAACAGTAGGATGATATCAGTTTTCTAGTGGTTTATTTCGATAGAATTTGTAATTGTTCAACTGTTAGATAGGATAGCATCTATCTTCCGTCATTGAGGCCTACATTATGAGTTTTTAAGACGGTCACACTCAGCTCTATACATTGTATCAATTCAGTGATCTTTGTTTATTTTTGTTTGTACTCAATATTTTTTTGTAAATGATGTGAATGAACTATGACTAGGGTACTCAATTAGTTACGTATCCATCCTATCATATTTTCTCTTTTTTTAGTACCGATACTTCTAATAATGGATATGTAGCAACGAATATACTACTAAAATTCATTAATCAACCCTTGATGTATTAAACTATGTTTCATGAGATTTTAGAAAATATCACAATGTTACATTATTCGTTTTAAGACCATTTCATATGAAGGTAAACTTTCTAAAAAAAGTAAGCACATCTTCGTCAAAGTGCTAGGATTTTTCATCTCATCCTAGGGTTAGTGAATATCTAGAAAACATAATTCAAGTATGCAACGCATAGGAGGAGTAGATCTCTTATTTTGTTGTTGTTTTTATACATCATAAGATATGAATAGGGTTTTCCTTTTTATTTTAATTTTATTGTTTACTTTTCTTGTTTAGATTTAATTATGATTGGATATGCCAAAAAATCCATTTCTAAAAAAACTTTGTATTGCCTTATTTTTTAAAACAGATTAACTTATGCTTTCTAACAATTTCATATTATCACATGTAAATTGGTGTCAAATCAGTAAATTATTTCCTGTGAATTCATTTGTTTTATTACAATGTCAATGGAGTCATTCTATCCAATCATATAATCAGACTAATAATAATAATAATAATAATAATAATAATAATAATGAGGACAGTAGTGAATTTCTAGAAAAGCTTAATGCTGCTAAAGACAATCCTCCTAGTGGATCAGCTTTATATCAAGATGATGATCATTTTTCTCCAGTTGTTTTTCCTGATCCTATATTCAATTGGGAATCTATCAGAACTAGCGTAAACGCTAGGCGTATGCATGAACGATTCAATATTGATAAAATTGTAAGTTTAATTAGTATTTTATTGTTTATATGTTCTTTAATTTCGATTATTTCTCTTTTCTATTCTTCTAAAGTTATTTTTTGATGCTAAGTATCCATAGGTAGTGAAAATGGGGTCATTTAAGCCATTTGTTGCTTTCACTAATCCAGTTGTATGAATAGCTATATTGCTCCCTGTGAATAACTTGCTTCTGTCCATATTTGTAATATGTTATTTGTTGCATTGATCTTGTTTTAAGTTTCCTGATCGGTAGAACTTGATTAGTCCTATGATCTACAACAATAATCTCTTTAGGTAGGGATGGATGGTGACTAACAGTGTAATCCAGGACGCGCATTTCATCCTATTTGGGGCTCGTTAGCTGGATGTGCTTGTATTTCAAGATTGACGTTCATTCCGGGACTCGGACCCTTCGCGTTGTAGACTTAACTACGGAGTTCAGATAGCCACTAGCTTGTGCAATGGGGTGAAGTCCCCGAGTGCACATCGACTCTGGGGTGCAGGTACATCCAGTTGACGAGTCTCAAATAGGACGGAACGTGCATCCCCGATCCCACTTCTAGCCACTATTCATCTCTGCTTATAATGCTTCTGATCTAACGATGGTCGTTTCGTCCGAGAATGGAACTCTCCGTTAGTGCTCACCCACGAATTCGCAAGTAAGAATAGAACCCAGGGTGTTTGGTCTTATGTGTGAACACCTGTCCGCTAAACCGCTTAGCCGATATTTGATGGTGTTAATATCCACCTGTAAGAACTAGGCAATCCCCACAAATCCTCTATACTAATAATAATTGTGTGCTCACTGGTGGCTAACTTCCCGATGTTAACTTCTAAAGTTTTATTGTGAAGCCGTGACCAGTGGGGTTCAATCTGTGTGTGCTGTGAGACAGTTATCCACCATAAGTATTAGATGAGGGTTGCACAATATTGTGAATTGATTGAATTTAGACACTACCAACGTTGAATGCAGGTTCAGTGGTTTAGAGGTTAGATGAGAACGAAGGTTCTGGGTTCAATTCCTACATACCGGTTCGTGGGTGAGCACTAACGGAGAGTTCCATTCTCGGACGAAACGACTATCCAGTGCTTCTACGTTTCCAATGGTAGTCGGGCCAAAATTAGTTCATAGTTTGAACTGAAGATTCCACAATAGCCACACCCCCTATACTAATAAATAGATATATACTTTGTTTCACATATTGATCAAGTACAGAGTTACAATTTGTTAGTAAATAAGATACTGACTAGTTTATTTGGTTTAAAATAGGGGTTTTGGTTTATCTGGAAAAAATCCCGTTGTGAATATTTGATACAAAAGTTAGAGAAACTTAATTAATATCCCGAAAAAAGGTGATTATCACTTTGTTAGCGGAATATAGATTAGATTAAAGCACGTTCCGCGCACGATTGTGTTTGTGCACTCTGATTAGCTATTTCTTATCTAATCAGCGCTAGTGGATACTTGGAGAAAACTCTAGAATCTTCTCATGTAAAAACCATAAATATACTAACGTTTTTCTGATTGTGCTTCTTACTTCCATCTACCCTTGTCATTTGGAATATACGTTTGTTCCTGTTCGACCGTGTTCTGGTTTGAGGACTTGTCGAGGGAATTGCCGTCCAAGAATACTAAACAATAGGAATAGCTGGCTCGTAATAAGAGGAATTATAACAGTGGCGACGAGGAAAAAGGAGAACATTCAGGATGCCGATATCAGATAACCAACTCAATCGAATACTACAACAACAGAAAGCATAACGTTTCTTGACATCAGGACTGCCTTCGATTCGTTGGATAGGACTGTTCTCTGGGAGTGTCTATTGAAGAAGGGTGTGCTTGAGAAGTTTATTAACATCTTTAAGGCCCTATATATAAACACCTCAGGCAGAGTGAGGGCATACAGCCACCTCTCTCCATTGTTCCATTCGAGCAGAGGGGTTAGGCAGGGTTGCCCAATCTCACCATTCCTCTTCAACTTTGCCATCGATGACATTCTGGAAACAGCTCTGATGGATGTAAGTAATGGCGGTGTAGATCTGTTGCCTAGAGAAAGACTTCTCGACCTTGAGTATGCGGATGATATTATCTTACTGTGCGAGAATGCCCAAGCTATGCAATCCGCACTTAATCAGTTGGCAATCAGTGTCCGTAGGTATGGTATGTGCTTTGCACCTTCGAAGTGCAAAGTACTTTTACAAGACTGGCAAGACCTGATCCTGTATTCACCGTAGGTAGTGAGCGGATACAAGTAGTCGAAAAGCTCATGTATCTAGGTGGTTGCATAAGTGCTGGTGGTGGCGTGAGTGATGAGATCAATGCACATACAGTGAAAGCCAGAGTGGCTTATGCCAATCTGGTCCATCTTTGGCGCCTTCGTTATGTTAGTCTGGCTGTAAAAGGTTGGATTTACAACGCGTCGGTGATAGCAGTTTTGCTCTATGCTTGTGAAACCTGGCCTCTCCGAGTTGAGGATGTTAGATGACTCTCAGTGTTCGATCATTGTTGTCTCCGAAGGATTGCTGACATCCAGTGGCAAAACCATGTTAGTAATGCAGAGGTTCGGCATCAAGTGTTCGGGCACAGAGATGATAATACAATTGGTGTCACCATCTTGAAACACAGACTTCGGTGGCTTGGACATGTTCTACGAATGTCGTCCCAGAGAATTTAACGACGTACATTATTTGCCGACTCTGGGACTGGTTGGAAAAAGCGGAGAGGCGGTTAGTGTATGACATGATGTCGTGGTATGAAAGAAAGCTGTGGAGAACTGGCTTGTGTTGGTCCTTCACGACTCCCTGGTTGGTGTCATATAGATGGTGTAACACAACGCCTAGAGACGTTATCAGATATTGCTCAGAAAAGAAGCCAATGGCGATCCTGCTGTAACTTTATTTTACTTTGTTCATAAAAAAAGACGTAACCTACCTAAGTGGAAAAACTCTCTGTGGCTGTACTTTTGCTATATATATATATATATATATATATATATATATATATATATATATATATATATATATATATATATATATATATATATATATATATGGTGCCCCTTTGTACCAATATTTATGTGCTCAAATAAGTAAATAAAGAAAATAAAAGCACAACTTGATTCACAAATTCTGTTGTTAGAGACTCTGACGCAATAGCTTAACATCCACTGCTCGAGTTAACACACTGTTTCAAGTACTTGTTGTGATGCAGTATCTAGCAACATCCCAGATTTCATCTGCGACCCCGAAAATGGAAATGCCCTTCTCACATGGTTCAAGCGTTGGGAAGATACATTAAGAATAGAATTCTGTAAACAAGATGATACGTTGAAGACTCGGTTGTTGATGAGTAAGGTGGAAAGCAATGAACATGTACGTTATGCTGACAGTATGTTACCAAAGTTACCTTGAGAGCCCAGTTTCGAGGAGACGGTAACTCAATTGTCAAACATTTTCGGTGAATCTTCCTGATTGTTTAGTATTCGATTTCTGTGTCTAAATCATATGAAACGCGAAGGCGACGAATATGGTGCTCTAGCAGACGTCGTCAACAGAGAGTGTGAACAGTTCAGGTTACACTCATTGACAGAAGACCAATTTAAATGCTTAATATTCATCGAGGTTCTTCAGTCACCATAAGATGCTGAGATTAAGACTAGACTTTTAACTCGACTGGATCAAGATCCAAACGTCACACTCAGGACAATGAAAGATGAGTGTAAGCGGCTACAAAACATCAGACACAACAATTAGTTAACTGAACAGGTAAATCCTAATTTAACCTGCAGTACTATCAACGCTATTACTAGGTTGAAAGCTCAGAAGCCGAGAACAACTCGTGACAAACCAACGACTGACTGTTGGTTATGCGGTGATTGGCATTATGTACGATTCTGTCCATTTAAGAAGCATAATTGTCAGGTGTGCAACAGACGTGGACATAAAGAAGGTCATTGTCCACCAAATCTTACGTCCCAGCCCAAGAACAAACATATACATCCTCGATATGTGGTGAAATCAGCTGAATGTAAATCTGTTTCTGTGGTAGCAGCCTTCCAAACGGACTGACATTCGGAGAAAGTATGCTTCTATCCAGATTAACGGCATATCAGCTCGTCTTCAAATTCACACGGCATCCCATATCACCCTAGTGTCTAGAGAAACCTATAACCTGCTTGGAAAACCGCAAATAAAGCCATCTAAAAAAACTGATAAAAATTCATCAGGATGAGTGCTAAAATTGGTTGGCGAATTACAGTGTGAATTTTCCTGCAATGGGACTACCTGCAAAGGAATATGCTATCTGACTGAACGGCCAAACCTTGAACTTCTTGGTCTAGATATGCTAGAAAAACTTGGAATAATGGATATACCGATTAACGATGTCTATGACGCCTCGTGTTCATCATTGGACACCCCGGTACTTGCAAAAAAAGACAGGTGCAAGGTTTCCGTGGCAGTGTATAGGTTTGGAATTTGCTGGTCCACTTCATGGAAAATCTTACTTTCTGGTAGTTGATGCATAGAGGAAGTGATAAAACATTTTTTTCACGCAACACCCAACCTCAGGCTGCACAGTCAGGAAACTACGTCAATTATTCAGTCGTTTCGGGGTCTCAGAATTAATACTTAGCGACAATAGAACACAATTTACGTCCGCTATCTTCTCCGATTTTGTAGGCAGAACGGAATCAATCATATCCGAACACCTTCATTCCAAACTCAATCCAATGTTAAAGTGGGACGCTCTGTTCGTACATGTAGAAATGGTCTGCAAAGATCGAGAGGGGAAGGGACCACTGAAGGGATCTTGGAGAGGTTCCTATTTATTAATCACTCTACACCGAACCCTCAGACGATTTGAAAAGTCTTGCTAATTGAACGCTAAATTTGGTTCCTAAGCTCTTCTTATAACTCCCAGGATAAATCTACATGGCGACTTGAACACGACAGAAAACGCGCGACATATTAAAGATAAACATTATTCCAAATGTTCGCTT